CAGAAACCTGGTTTGTCTTAGTCTTAATCTCAGAAGAGAGTGTGTCTCCATCTCTGTTTCCTTCTGTTTGGAAAGTATTGCCGTTGCTCCATTTCTTCTAATTGACTGATATTACTGGATTTCATGTAAGTCTGATACTGAACTGTTTCTGACACTGGACTTTGATATTTGGATTATCCCTGGATTGAAAACTGACTGAATTTACCTGTGAATGACTTTTGGACTGCTTATTTTGAACTTTGCTTAAACCTTTCTGGAAGTAAAAACCTACATTTACTGTACAGTGTATCTGTGTGCTCTGTGTGTGTATTATTCCAACACTCCTCTCAAATACGTCTCCCTGTATGCGCTCGTTCTCCTAACGGGGAATTACCTCAACAGTCATAATACTAAACAGGCACAAAGTTGGGAACCGCCCGGAACAGTGTGTGTGTCTGTTTCCTGCAGCTGCTGACAAGCTGCCCAGCCTGCATGCCAATGGAGAGGAATTTTTTTAAAAAAAGTGGGGGGGGGGGGCCCTCTTTGGTCAGCCAACCTTCCTGAGCTTCTGCCTTTTGAATCAAATTTGCGAGCCAGAAAAGAAACTTCTGGATCTTTTGCTACCATAAATGTTTTCAACCTGTTTTCAGAAGGGGGAACTTCAATTCTCACAATTCTCCAGCCAGCAACGCTGAAGCCCACCCCTCTTAAAGGGGCCCAGGTTGAAGAACACTGCCCTAGAAGAACAAGGGTCTCTGTGTGTGTGTGTGTGTGTGCGATACCCCACAGCTGCCCCACTCCACACCCTCCCCAAAAGACACACCTGTTTCACCAGCAATAAAAATGATGGAGAATCAAGAGGAAGAGGGCAGATTCGGGAGGGGGAGGAGGTTTTTTTTCCCTTTGTGGACTTCCTCTCCTTCCCAGCTACCCTTGCCAAGACACCCCCTGGAGACCCCCACTCACTATTCCACTCCCGGGGTTGAGGGAAGCTTTCTCCAATCTGCTTTTCTTTTTCTTTCTTTCTTTCTTTCTTTTTTTTTCTCCCCCCCCCCTCCTTTCTTCTTTCCTCATCTTCCTTCCTTCTGTTTTTCTTTTCTTTTCCCTTTTTTCTTCCGTCTCTTCCCTCCCTTTGTTCCTTTTCTTCCTTCCCTTTACTCCCTCCCTTCCTCCCTCTTCTATGTTTCTTTTTCTCATGCATTCATTACATTGTTATCCCATGTTCATTATTTTTGCAAACAACTCAAGGTGTTGAACTCAAACATGCCTTCCTCCTCCTATTTCTCCAGCACAACCACCCTGTGAGGTGGGCTGTGCTGATAGAGAAACGGGCCCAACGTCACCCAGACGAGATGAACCTTTCAGGGCTAAGGCAGGACTTGCCCTCGTGGTCTCTTGCTTTCTACCCTGGAGCCCGAACCACCACGAGACCCACCAGCAGCCGAAGGCTCTGCCAAGGCGGGGGGACCAAGTTCCTGCCCTCCCTTGCCCTTATAGGCCCCCTTCTGCCCCAGGGGAAGGGTCTTCCTGGGGGAGGGTTTCGAAGCCAAGGGACAGCCCCCTCCCCACCTATTCTCTTTCTTTCCCTGAGGACAGACCCAGGCGTGGAGGAGAGAAGTGCCAGGATGCCCGTCCATCCTTCCTGGCCACCCCAGTCCATTTTCCTCCTGGCACAGGGAGACCCAGCAAATGCAAAGCATCCAAAGAGGAAACGCAAGGTGGGTGGAGCAGCCACTGATATGCTCAACCCCCAAAAAACCTCGTCCCCCCCCCCCCCCCCCACATACACCTGATCACACACCTGATCTGGGCACTTGGGGGGCAGGCCTCCCCCCCTTGCGAAATCCCACAGACGCACTTCGAGGGAGCCATGTAAAATCCAGACGATAACACGGGATATGGAAAAAAATACATGTATTAAGAGAAAATACACCGCATTATGTACAAATCACACCATTGGCTCTATACAGAGGGATTTCTGGGAGGGTCTTCCTTGGCAGGTGAGGAGGGAGGGAGGGAGGGAGGCAGCCCCTCGGCCTTTCCTTCCCGGGACGCGTCTTCCAAAAGGGTCAGTCCAGTGTTCCTGGATTTGAAAAGAACACACGTTTTTGAGAATTCCGTTTTTCTCCTGGGCAAAGTATTTTCTCTCTCTGCTTCCTGGGTTAAATCATGCAGTCTTTCTGTTGCCTTTGTTATTTACAATAGAGAATAGAGCTGGAAGGGACCTTGGAGGTCTTCTAGTCCAGCCCCTCCTCAAGCAGGAAACCCTACACCATTTCAGTCAAGTAGCAGTCAAGTCTCTTCTGGTGGCAAGCAGTTCCACTGGTTAATTGTCCTCCCTGTTAAGAAGTTTCTCCTTAATTCCAGGTTGCTTCTCTCCTGGATTAGTTTCCATCCGTTGCTTCTTGTCCTGCTGCCTTCAGGGGCTTTGAAGGATAGATTGACACCCCCCCCTTCTCTGGGACAGCCCCTCAAATGCTGCAAGACTATCATATCACCCCTAATTCCTTTCTTTGTCTTGCAATCTAATTTTGTCTAACGTTTTTGAATTGTCTTGCAATTTAATTAGAATAGCTTGCACCACTTCAATTCTTGAGGGCTTTGTTCAGATTTTGACCCCCGGGGTCCAGAAATAGCACAAAACAGTGGCAAGAAGAGCCAACAGTTTATGCGGCTGGGCCCAGGAAAACTTTTTGAGACAGGTGGACTCCAATTCCCAGAATTCCCCAACCAGCAGGAATTCTGGGAGTTGAAGTCCACCCACTTTAAAAGTTACTAAATTTGAGAAACTCTTGTCTAGTCCATCAGCTTATCTTCACAGTGGCCCACTGCCTGCCCAAGGAAGCCCACCTGTCTGCCAGCAGGTAGCCTTTGGGGGAGGCCCACAACCATCCAGGCTAAGAGCCTTAGTAAGGCCACACCTGGAATATTCTGCATCCAGTTTTTGGTCACCACACTATAAAAAAGACCTTGAGACTCTAGAAAAAGTGCAGAGAAGAACAACCAGGATGTTGAGGGGACTGGAGGCTGAAACATACTAGGAACCGGGCCTGGCTAGTCAAGGCAAGAGAAGGACCAGGGGAGACAGGAGAGCAGCCTTCCAGTATTTGAGGAGGGGCTGCCACAGGGAGGAGGAAGGGGTCAAGCTATTTTCCAAAGCACCTGAAGGCCAGACAAGGAAGAATGGATGGAAACGGAACAAGGAGAGACTCAACCTGGAAATAAGGAGGAATTTTCTGAGAACAATCCCATGGAAGAGAAGTTGCCTTCAGAAGTTGTGGGCGTTTCATCCCTGGAGGCTTTCAAGAAGAGGCTGGATTGCCGTGGTGAAGGGTCTGCTGCTTGGGTGGGGGGGGGTTGGACTAGATGACCTCCAAGGTCCCTTCCAACTCTGTTAAATAAACGATCTGTTAAAAGAGTCCTTCATCCCCATCATCATTATGAAGCCACCCAACCAGTTATGTTTATTTATGCTCCTTTTTATCCCAGCCCCCAAACGCTCCGATTGAAAAGACCCGGGAAAGCTTTTAATAAAGCTGTCAGTCACACAATGACCCTGAAGGTAGTTTGGTTTGGCTGCTGGGGGGAATTAAACACCCCAGCAAATATTTTCCTTTAAGTCAGGCAGATGCACAACCAGGGTCCTTACCTTCCAGGAAGGCAAACTCATCCAGGGCTTCAATGGCATTGTCTGCAGAAGGGAAAAACCGACACCCATTTTATTTTATTTTATTTTAAACTTAAGATTTGTTGTTGGTGAGCATATGCTGTTGAATGGTTTTGACCGGAGGAAATTTAGAACAGAATGAAACATATAATAGAAAATGGTATGGAGGAAAAAAAGAACAAATAGAAATCTGTGGTAAGAAAAAAAGAAAAATTAAACCCAGCTCCATCCCACCAGAGCCCACAACAACTGAAAAAGCCCAAAGACTAAAAATTGAAAAAAACTGGACTTTTGTGAGCTGGACTGGTGGGCTGGAAATGTTACCACCAGGTGATTTTTTTTTGTCATGGCTCAGACCAACTTGGGTGAGGGTCAGGCCACCCGCAGACTGGTGACCAACCCCCAAGCGGAGCCCATTCGATGGGCCCTGGAGAAGTGGGAAAGGCTGGGAAGGGGTGTGTGTGCTGCCCCCTCCAGGATGGCAACTTCCCCCTCCCCCCCCTCCCCCAAATGGTAAGGCGGGCTGGAGCGGGCCGCTGCAGGCCAGTTGCACAGACCCCGGCCCTGGTGGTCAGGGGGGGGGGGGGGGGGGGGGAGGATGGGGGGGGGGGCTTGGGGGCTTTGTTGTTTCCATGCAGACGTTTCGTGATCCAGCTAGGTAACAGCATCAGGGCTAGAAGGGAGAGGGGTTTGCAAAGAGGAGGCGGCTAACCCACCCAGGTCCTTCCTCTGCAGAGTCTTCCTCTTCCCGTGCTGGGTGTGGATGAAGGCGTCCTTGGAGATGGTCTCCACAAACAGCTCCTGGGGAGGCAGAAGGGGCAGGGAGGGAGGAGGGAGGCAGGTCAGACAAGGGACAGGCAGCGGTTCCACTGCAGGGGCCTCAGGCAGCCCTCCCTAGTGGTGGGAGGGAGGCGGAGCCTCTGGGGAAGCCGGGCAGAGACCTCCGCCCCCAACCCTGGCCGGCCAAGGGCAGCTTGAGGCCCCTCTGTGTGTGTGTGTGTGTGTGTGTGTGTGTGTGTGTGTGTGACATGGGGGGAGTCCTCCTCCCTGCAAGGGAGCTCCTGCCTCCCGGCCCTCCTTTGCCCAGCAAAAGTGGCTCCCTCCCTGCAAGGTAGGACGGAGAGTCCCAGCTGGCAGCAGAAGAGAATCTCCCTGGAGTTCCACCCTGGGCCTTGATCCGCCTGCTCAGCTGGGAGTCTCCTTAGCCAACCAGGTCAACCTCTGAGCCTGAGCAGAGCGCTTGTTCCAGCCTGCCCGGGATCTCCGCGTGGTGCCCCATCCCACCCAGAGCGAGACTGAACAGCGCCCTCTGGCGGCGCCGAGCAGAAAACAGCGAAACCACGCCCCACCTCGCGCAGGCAAGGCCGGCTCCTGATTGGGCCGGGAGGCGCCGCCCCGCCCACTCACCGCGGCGCGCGCCAAGATGAAGACTGCCTCCTGGCTGGCCAGGCTGACGTCAGGGTCGGCCTTCACTAGCGCCTTCACGCGAGACAGCGGGAGCCGAGCCGGACGCGAAGGCCCCGCCGGCGTTGTTGCTGCCGCCGGCGCCGCTGCCGGCGCTTCGAGCTCCTCCGGCACCCCGGCGCTTCCCGCCACTGCCGCCGCCGCCGCCATGGGCGCCGCCATCTTGGCCACTAGTGCGCCTGCGTGGCCGACGCCATCGCTTTTGAAGCTACGCCCCCTACGTGCTCCTGCGCCGCTTTGCCGGAGGGAGGGAGGGAGGGAGGAAGAAAGGGGGGGGGGGGGAAGGGATGGGCGCCCGCGGGCGCCACCTCGCGGCGAACGCGTGACTTGGCGGAACGTGCGAAGCCCTTAAATCTGACACAAAGTAAAATACGCTGCCCTAAAAGCCCCCCCCCCCCCCCCAAAAAAAATCAAATCCGGGGTGTGTTAATTGTTGCTTTTTGTTCTGATCTGCTCCCCACCTCACCCTTCTCGTGTTTTGATCCGGCTTTAATCTCCCACCGCCTCGGACGGATCAATCCCGCCTCTCCCCCTGGGCAGGCAGCTCACCCGGGCCATAAGTAGAATATAGAGCACCGGAGGATTCCTCCTTTTCTTCTACTTTGCCTTTCTCACCACGGGTGTTAAGTAAATCATATGGTCCTTAAGCGAATCTGCCCCCCCCTCGCAATTGATTTTGCTTGTCAGAAGCCGGCCAGTTGCCAAGGGTCCAAATTTGGATCACGTGACCTTGGTCGTAAGTGTGAAAAACGGTCGTAAGTCCCTTTTTTTTTCGGTGCTGTGGTCCCTGAAGGGTCCCTAACCAATGGCTGGAAGTCAAAGCCCGCCTGCGATGCCAGGCTAGCAGTTTTTCAGCCGCTTGGTTAGATCCCTTTTTTTTTTTTTTTTCAAATGGAGGCATTGTGGAAAGAAAAGAAAAAAGAAAGAAAGAAAAAGGAAAGCAACAGGGCAAAAAGAAAGAATGAAAGAAAGAAGAAAACAAAAAAGAAAAGGCAAGAAAGAAAAGAAAGAAAGAAAGAAGATAAGAGGAAAGAAAAAAGGAAAGAAATGAAAGCAAAAGAAAAGGGAGAAGAAAGAAAGAAAAAATGAAAGAGAAGGGAAGAAAGGAAAGCAAAAGTGAAGAAAGGAAAGAAAAAACAAAAAAGAAAGAAGAAAAAGGGAAGAAAGAAAAAGGGGGAAAGAAAGGAAAAGGAAAGCAAAAGAAAAGGAAGAGAGAAAGGAAAGAAAGGAAGAAAAAAGTAAAATGAAAGACAAAGAAAGAAGGAAAGAGAAGGGAAGAAAGGAAAGAACAAGTGAAAAAAGAAAGAAAGAAAACCTCTGGGCGCGAGAGGCGATGATGCTCTTCCCGAGAGCTGAGCCCAGGCCCCGGGGGGGGGGGGGGGAGGGGGAAAGAATGCAAGCCCTTCCTGTTGGGGGAATCCTGTTTTCCAAGCCAGCCCAGTTCCTCTGAGCACATACAGAGTGCTGCCGGGGTGGGGTGGGGTGGGGGCAAGAGCCAGCCAAGGGCGCCCTCCGGCTGCCCCTGGTGCTTCCTGGCGGCTGGCGGACCGGTTAATCCGCCCGCCCTTGGGGCCCGGCTGCCCTTCCCCCCCCGGCCCCCCCCCCCCCCCCGTCTCACTGCTTCCAAAGTTAGACTCGGGATTACGACGATGACAAAGGACGCGTCATAAGACGCAGGGCGCTTTCTTCTAGGCTGAAAGGCAGCAGCCGGCCGGTTCCTTGCTCTTCCCGGCCTGCCCACGGGGGTCGTGGTGCCCCCTGCGCCCCCCATCCAGGCCAAGGGGATGCACCCAGCCTTGGCCGGGGGCCCCTCCTGCTGCCCTCGGTGAGATTTGGGGGGGGGGTGGCATGTGGGGGCAGCCGAAAGAGGCCCTGCTGGGCTCCCTCCAGAGGCTCAGGGCCTTCTGGAGCGAGAATGGGCTGCTGACCCTCTCAGTCCTCTCCGTGGTGACCGGCTGCCTGGTGGGCTTCCTCCTCCGCTTGCTGGAACTCTCCCATCTGGTAGGTTTGGGGGGGGGGGGGCGGGGGGGGGGCAGAGCTGGGCACCTGCACAAGAGCGGAGGCTGGCACCGCGCCCCCTGGCTTGGGCTCCCTGGGCCCTCGATGCCAGCCTGCCTCGTCCTGCCAACAGAAGCAACGATTTGCCCTCTGAGCTCGTTCTCTTGCAGACGTTTCGTGACCCAGCGAGGGAACATCATCAGTGCTGGAAGGAAGCGGGGGGCTGCAGGGAGGAGGAGGAGGAGGGTCCCGGGTGCTCTCTGAGATTTGGTGTGGCTTTCTGGCAGACGTCGCCCTACCAAATGCACTGATGACGTTCACTAGTTTGGCAATGCGACGTCTGCCAGAAAGCTACCAAGCTCAGAGAGCACCCAGGACCCCATCGTCTTCCGGCCTTCCTTCTCCCTTCCTTTCTCCTCCCTTCCTTCTAGCACTGATGACGTCCCCTAGTTGGGTCATGAAACGTCTGCAAGAAAGAAACCAAGCTCAGAGGGCACCCGGGACCCCACCGTTTTATTCTGAACCAGATCAAGGGATTGGATCCTCAATTCACAGCCGAACCAGGGGCCTCCCCCACTTCTCAGCAGAAGGGCCCCCTCTGTCTCTGGAGATACGAGACCCCCTGCCCCTGATCTCCCTCGCCTGCTGGAGGGCAGGGAAAGGGGCCTTAGAAAGATGCCCCCCCACCCCGGCCGTTCCCCACTGGACTCCTCTCTTGGCCTTCCGAGGAGTCACCCAGGACCCCTTCTTTCCCGACAGGCCGCCTCCCAGCAGGGGCTCCCCTCTCCGGCCCATTGGCCTGCGGGCCCCTGTGCCCCCACAATGCCCAGGCCACTCAGGGGCCGGGCCTCCCCCTGCAGCCCCACTTCTCCCTACGATCCCGGCTGGCTTGGCAACCCATCCCCCCCCCTCTGGGGTTTTCCTCCCGACGACGGCTTCATGGTTGGCGACTCAGGCTGGGTCAAATGGGGGCGTGGGAGCCAACTTAGCCTCTGCCAGTTTTCCAAGCCTCTGGTCTTCCCTTTGAATGGAAAGAGCTTCATCTGAAGGGGCCCTCCCTCCCAGAGACCCCTCCCCAGAAAGGGCTGCTACAGAATGGGATAGGATAGGGATAGAATAGGATAGAATAGGCTAGAATAGAATAGAATAGAATAGAATAGAATAGAATAGAATAGAATAGAATAGAATAGAATATAGATTAGATTAGATTAGATTAGATTAGATTAGATTAAATATTGGAATGAAGGGTAGAATAGAATAGAAATAGAATGGAATAGAATAGAATAGAATAGAATAGAATAGAATAGAATAGAATAGAATAATGAATGGAATAGAATAGAATAGAATATAGATTAGATTAGATTGGATATTGGAATGAAGGTAGAGTAGAATAGGAATAGAATAGAATTAGAATATAATATAGAATAGATTAGATTAGATATTGGAATGAAGGGTAGAATAGAATAGAATAGAATAGAATAGAATAGAATAGAATAGTAGAATAGAAAATAGATTAGATTAGATATTGGAATGAAGGGTAGAGTAGAATAGGAATAGAATAGAGAATAGAATTCTTTATTGGCCAAGTGTGATTGGACATACAAGGAATTTGTCTTGGTGCAAATGTTCTCAGTGTACATAAGATAAAAATCATCATTATTAGGTTACTAATAAGCAATCAAATCATACATAGGTTGCTAATAAGCAAAACATACTAGGAAAACAACATAATATAAATTGTACAGATACAAACCTGGTTATAGTCATAAGTGGGAGGAGATAGGTAATAGGAAGGATGAGAAGGAGGGATTCTGGGAGTTGAAGTCCACCAGTCTTAAAAGTGGCCCAGGTTGGAACTCCATCCCTGGGACCTCGAAACAGCCACTGTTTGGATGCCTGGATGCTCAACTCTTATCTTGCCTCAGTGATGAGCCCAGCAAATGGCACTATCCAAATTTTTAAATTCCGGATGGAATTACCAAAAGTGACGGGCTGTTTGAACATCATTTGCTTGGAGGGGGGGAGAACCAGCCCCATTCGCTCTTAAGGCTTGGCAGGGCTGGGGTGGGTAGCAAGGTCAGCCAAACGGCCAGCTGCAACTGTGCAGGCTCCATCCCTCTGGCCAGCTAGGCCACCTCCGGACACGGCTCTTTCGAAAGGCCTCGAGACCCGTGTCCAAAAGGAGGGAAGGGGAAGGGGAAGGGCAGAGGGGCATGGAGGGGGTGACGGATAACCAGTTGCATGCTGGGCACCTGTTTTATCTGATTTAATCGATTTGTTTATGAAGTTTATAACGCCAGCACTGGCTGCATTGCAACGGTCAGTGCTGGCAGCAAACCCAGGAAAAATGCCCCCCCCCCCCCCCCCCAGTAATACGGATGGTAGGACATTTGTTCTGAATTTGGCTGGATAGAGACAGCAGATCCTGTGTGGGAATCTTCCTTCTCCATTCAAGAGGAAGAGCCGGTGGGACACCACGGGAAAACCCACCCACCCGTCTCAGATCAAAGCTGGTCGGGGGCTTTGGGCCAGCAGCTCTCTCAGCCCAGCCCACCTCACAGGGCTGTTGTTGTGGGGGAAAGAGGAGGAGGAAGAAGGAGGATTGGGTATGTCTGTGGAGGCTCTCATTCCTCCAGAATCGACGAGGGAAGTCCCCAAAATGCTTTTATTGTAAAGGCAAATGGACTTTCTGGTTTCTCCTTGAAGAGGTTTCACTTCTCATCCCAGAAGCTTCTTTAGTTCTCAGGAATGAACATGAAGAAACTTCTGGGATGAGAAGCAAAACCTCTTCAAGGAAAAACCAGAAAACCCATTAGCCTTTACAATAAAAGCTCCTTTGGGACGAGGGTTGGGTTTGTTCGCCTATTCTCCTTATAAAGATGTTATCCCATCTTTTTTTTAACAAGAATAAAGATGGGATGGATTTAAAAAAAAAAATTCTAAAACCAGGCCCAGCTGTGGCAAAGGGGCAAGGAATGCCAGTCAGAAAATGGCAAAAAAGGGATAAATTCCCTGCAAGATGGATAAGCCCCCCCACCACTTACCCGTTCTTTGCAGGCCTCCGTGGGGCCACCTTTCCTTTACCTGCACAAAATGCCCAGATTTCTTAGTTTAGCCCCTGATACGGACCCAGACCCTGGTTAGGTTGTGATTTGATGTCCTGT